TCATTTTTTTTTTGTTTTTCTCGATTTTTTTGAAAACTGTTGGAAAATGTTTTCTTTTGTCCTCTATAATGCACCAAGGATATTCACTTTTACATCGGAAACGACCACCAAAGTTTGAAATCGAAGCATTATTTCGACTTGTTATGCTGTACATAGACACAAAAAAAAAACAACACACATCATTGTAAAATCAATACATTCATCACTTCGTTCAGAATCTAAAATAAGAATATGTATTTTTGAAATATTTATAAAATTAAAAACTAATGATCCATAAACTATTTGTAAGGTAAATTAACTACTTTTAAATTGCATATCTTGTCAAAACACTATGTTGGAAAACTAAAAATTTAAAAGATATAAAAGAAGTATTATCTATAATAATATACAATAATACAGTTGCGTATCAGAGTGGTATAGGGGATTATAACCCCCCACCCCCCAAAAATATTGCAATGTTTAATTTTTGATTATTGATTTAATAACAACACACAATATTCAAAACAATTTAATATTATATTTTTTTAGCACACCCTACCCACCAAAAAAAAATCTTGATATGCCACTGCTTTAATATGCTATAAATAATGTAAGAAATGTTTAAGTTTAACTAGCATTTGTGATTCACTTATAATTGGAGGGTAACAATCTTAATAATTTTAAATTGTTAGTTATATTTCATTTCATTCTTATATTATTATACACAAACTATAGGTAATTTGTACTCTATTTTATTATGTTTTCTATAACTTAGTTTTTCAATGTCTGTTAGAAATAATTAATGTTAATTTAAAAATATAATCTATTTACTAAATTTTAGTATTTTTGATCAATTTTGAGTAGTAAGAATATAATCAAGTCTTAAAGTTAATGTATGTTAATAATACGATTAGTATTTAAAATTCTATTGTTACTTTTTTTTTATTTTAATTCTAACATACCTAAAAATATGTATATATTTTACAATGATGTGTTTTTTTCTGTCTGTTATCAACATTGGGGAYAGGGAAAGTGCTCCGATKTTTTACTTCAGCATAATTTCTGATAGGAAAGTAAATCTAGTTAGTGCATTAGAGAGGATAAAAAAAACTAAGAAAAATTGGTGATTTTAATAAAACTATTGACAAAATCAAATTTGTTATTTTGTTAAAAATTTTAAACTTCAAACAAACACTGTAGAAGTATGATATTTTCACCAAATGTTTTTATTAAAATTGTCTATAATAATGGTATGATTATTTATAAAAGTATGCTAGGCTGACTCCTGTCAACTTTCAGAATTGATTTTTCTATACAATAATCATTGAATTCATTACAAGTCATTACTCATTACAATTACTTGTCCATCTTTTTAACAATAATAATAATAGTGTTACATTATACTAAAAGAGAGTAAATAAAATATAAAATAGTAATTATACAACAACATGAAAATTAAGCTTATGTAGTTGTTCTGGTAGTTGTTTAATTCAGTGCCGGCTTGGACTTTATTTTCCCTCGATTCACTTTTAATATTTTTACACCACCCACCCTAAAATATAGTTATTACTTATTACTGTAGGTACATTATCTGCTGAGTACACATTACGGCTATATATTATTTATTATTTAT